AACCAACTAAGTGAAAATAAATCTAAGAAGAGAATAACTTACAGTTTTTCCAGTTCAACAGTCATCGCGAGAATGTTCTTAAGTGTTGTAAGTGGAACTTGCGTTTTTCCCATGTCTCTGAAGAAGAAAGTCGAAACATTCATGATATGAACCCCAATAAAAAATTCTGTACTTAAAAAGATATTTCAAGGACATGTGATTACTTCAATTTTGGCTTCTCTATAAAACAAGCCAGCTCAAGAGTTTATTTGCTGTAGAATTCCAGGGAGCTCTTATTAGAGAAATTTAAGTTGATTTGCATCATCAAATTCATGATATTCAAGAGCAGAACTTACACCTTTTTTTTTTTAACCATTATCTTCTCATTTTCATATTGCATTTACCATCTTATTTACTCTTTTCTTCATTTTTACAATAATGAATACCTTTGCCCCTTTGCTTTCTTAGTTAAATAATATTCTTCCATGTGTCTACATGTTCCAAATCTATACAGGTTCTTCAACACTGTTCTCTTCCTCTGCTGGCTGTCTTGACCATTATACATCCTCTTTAATTTTTTTCTTTGTCAATAACCCAGTTAAAATTTAAATTATGAAATTTTAGCCTAAATACAAACTACTTAAGTTTGATGAAAAATTTAAAAAGCATAAATCATCTCATGACTCATGAGAGTACTATAGTACTTACAGATATTTTAATGCTGGCAATTTAAAGAGATACGGATCTTCAACAGTTGTCAGAGGATTGCGATTGAGAATTCTGAAAAATGGAATGGAATTAACCTGAATTTTCAGTATATGAAACTGCAACTAAAATTTATATTCATTTTTTGGTACAGAACTTGTAGGTAAAAAAGAAAAAAATGTTTTCTGTTTTTACCTAATCAATCACCATTAGACTCCCTAAAGCACTATTCCTCTGGGAACTACCCAGGTCTCTAGACGATACAGTAGAGGAGAGAACAAAGGGAAGAACTACCTGGGAAAAAAAGTGGATAGCAAAGAAAAAATATGGCACAGAACTTTTCAGGTCAAAAACCCTACAAGTGACTATGTTGGTAGGAAGTGCTGACTGTGTAGCAAACACTATTTCTAGCGTCCTCCATAATTCAAGTTGCTCATCACAATTCAAGTTGTGTTTTTTGTTTTTCGTTTTTTGTATTTTTTTGTTTGAGATGGAGTCTCGCTCTTGTTGCCCAGGCTGGAGTGCAACGGCTCAATCTCGGCTCACTGCAACCTCCACCTGCCAGGTTCAACTGATTCTCCTGTCCTGCCTCAGCCTTCCAAGTAGCTGGGATTACAGGCACCCACCATCACGCCCAGTTAATTTTTGTATTTTTAATAGAGACAGGGTTTCACCATGTTGGCCAGGCTGGTTCTGAACTCCTGACCTCAGGTGATCTACCTGCCTCAGCCTCCCAAACTGTTAGGATTACAGGCGTGAGCCACTGCAGCTAGCTGCTTGTCTTTTATCTTTATAAAGCTTTTAAAATTTATGATTTAATTTGCACAGTTAAAAAAAAATAGGACCAATTACTTTGCTTTATAGCCAAAGAAAAAGGAATAAATCCAACAGGAGGAACTGGTCAAAACCATACTCCCACTTTCTTCTTGTATGACATCACAGCCTTTCTTACACTGCATGTAATCACCTGTCCACCTGTCAGTCTCCTGGACTAGGAGCTCCTTGAGGGTAGAGACCACATTTTTTTTTTCTTTTTGAGACGGAGTCTCACTGTGTCACCCAGGTTAGAGTGCAGTGGCACAATCTCGGCTCACTGCAGTCTCCGCCTCCTGGGTTCAAGCAATTCTCCTGCCTCAGCCTCCCGAGTAGCTGGGATTACAGGTGCCCGCCACCATGCCCTGTCTTCCCTGTGCCTGGCATGATGTCTGAAATGTATTAGGCATTTAACAAATGTTTATTGAATAAACAAATGGCATTTTGTTTATATGTCAATAAAATGAATAAATTGGTTTTGATGCAAACTTTTATTCCAAAATGTTGGAATCCATTTTCTTTTTAATCCTTTAGCGAACAAGAAAAAGAAAAGAAACATGAAGAAATAAAAGAAAATCTGCTTTTAGGTTAACCAAAGAATCATCATTGTACTTCTGCAGAAATTATACAAATAATAATTATCATAGTATCTACTGGTTTGCAACGTATTTGTGATTAGAATTTCACCTTTAATCCTCACAACAACCTTATGTGGTAGATATTATTGCCCTATTTTATTTTTTTATTTTTTTATTATTGCCCTATTTTTAAATGAGGAAACTGGGGCACAGAGAGGTTATATACCTTGTCCTAGGTCACTAAGCTATTAAACAGTAAAGCTGTAATTTGAACTCATGTGTTTTAATAAATGTATGAAGAAAAAAGGGTTGTGAATTTTAACCTTTACTTTTTAAAAAATTGTTTTATTTTTGTTCATTCTTTTCTTTTTCCGTTCTGCTTTCCTTCCAAACTACGCCTTCCTTCTTTCTATTTTATTCTTTCCTTTCTCTTCTCCCCTCCCCTCCCTTCCTCGCACTCCTTCCTCCCCTGCGCTCCCCCAGCGCCCAACAGGGTCTCGCTGCATTGACCAGGCCGGAGTGCAGTGGCGTGATCTTTGCTCACTGCAACCTCTGCTTCCCAAGCTCAGGTAATCCTCCTTCCTCAGTCTCCCATGTAGCTGGACTATAGGCACGCACCACCACGCCTGGCTAATTTTTGTGTTTTTAGTAGAGATGGGAGTTTCACCATGTTGGCCAGGCTGGTCTTGAACTCCTGAGCTCAAGTGATCTGCCTGCCTTGGCCTCCCAAAGCCAGCCTTAATGTTGAGAAGACTAAATACAGAAATGCCTTTCAACCTTCTTCTACTCCTCTGGGAGGGCCTCTATGAGAATTACAATTTCTCATTAGCAGTTCACGGCCACGCTTGCCTATAGTTCCAGCTGTTTGGGAGGCTGAGGCAGGAGAATTGCTTGAACCCAGGAGGCGGAGGTTGCAGTGAGCCGAGATCAAGCCACTGCACTCCAGCCTGGGTGATAGAGCAAAATAAAGAGGATTACAGTTTCTCGTTTTATGTCTTTCCCCTAATCATTTCCCATGATTAAATAGTTATTTAGTCTATGGTCAATTAGACTTTTTTTTTAAGGGACACATTCTCAGTCACTGTGTTGCCCAGGCTGGAGAGCAGTGGCTATTCACAGGCACGATCCCACTAGTGATCAGCATGGGAGTTCCGACCTGCTCCATTCCCGAACGGGGCTGGTACACCCCTTTTTAGACAACCCGGTGGTCTGCTGTTCCCGGGAGGTCACCATACTGATGCTGAACTTAGTGAGGACACCCAATCAGCATAGCATGCTACAGCCCAGAATTCCTGGACTCAAAGGATCCTTCTTCCTTTGCCTCCCGAGCGTCTGGGAATACAGGCACGTGCCCTGTGAGCCTTTAGAGATTTAAAACCATGCTGTAAGTGACATCAGTGAAAATGGTGGAATAAAGACATCCGAAAATTCGTCCTTTCATAAAAGCAACCACTACCAAAAAAATTGTACAAAAATAAACTTGACCAGAATAAACTTTTTCAGAACTCTAGAAATTTAACCAAAGTTTTGCAGTGACCCCAGGAGCATTTATTCAAGAAAAATGTCTGTAAGAAAAGTGAGATTTGTGTTTATTTGCCTTAGACCATTCCTCACTCTCTAGCTCAGTAGTCGCCTTGAAAAACAGCCCACATCCCCAACCAGAGGGAGCAGAATGGAACTGGAGCTGCTTCAAAGCCTTATTCTCAGTTAACTGTCATGATGTCATCTGTCTGGTGGTTCCCTGGAAGACCTCATTTGAAAGATTTGTCTTTATTTGACCAGAATAAAAGATGTCTAGTGCTAAAGCCTCTCCATAGAGGGTGTTTTTGGAAAACAATTACAGTGTCTTAACATGGCAACTATATTAGGCAACGAATAACAGTTTGGGGAGAAAAAGCCAATCAAAAAGCTTAATAGGAAGAGCTGAGGAAAGATGTCCACGGGAATTTTGAACCAGTCTGATATATCCTTGGGAAACTAGAAGTCCATAAGACGTATTCCTGGCAATTTGGAATGTCATGCACATGCATAGGGCGGGCTGTCAGCATGGTCAGGAAAGACCTACTAAGTTCTTTCTACTACTTGTGACCTACTACTAACTTCACAAACTCTCACCCCTGGCTGATCTTGAGGTTCTGCACAAGCAAGAAGTGAAAGCTAAGGCATGGCTGTAAACTGTCTGGCTGAGTGCTGAAGGTATGCCCCAACATGTACACAGAGCCCCTTGGCAAAAACTACACTTATCAGTTTCAAGAATTTAAGTAAATCTCCATTTAATTATTAGCTGATCGGTAAGCTAACCAAGGAGAGACTTCAGTGGGCACACATGATATATAACGCAAGACTTTACCGAAGAAGTTCAGAAAAGTCACTAAATAAATAGCAACTACTAGCACAAGCAGCAGTAACACCAAACCCTGGGAGCATGGATCTGATTTTCA